ACTGGCGGAGACGCCGCCGGGAGACGCCCCCTGCCGGACAACGCGGGACACCACAAGCGGGCGGCGCAGTCCGAGCGCTTTCGCCCGCAGCCGAACCCAGGCGGGCCGAGCCGGGTCGAGCCCAGCCCGGCCCAGTCGAACCCAGCAGCGCCGAGCCGGGTCGAGCCCAGCCCGGCCCAGCAGCGCGGAGCCCGGCCCCTCCGAACTGAGGCGATCCCCTCAAACCGAGCCCAGCCCAGGCCAGCCCGAGCCCAGCCGTGCGTCCCGGTCCCCACTGCGGGATGGACGCCGGAGCATGGAGTACTCCTCGGAGAGAGCCGGGCTGTTCCCTTCGTCCCAGCCGAGCTGGAAGATGCCCTGTTAAGCACTCAGCGGTACGGTGGTGGCAGTGAGATCCTGAGGGCAAAGGGCTGCCGAAAGGGGCACCAGAGAGGGGTGGGCAGAGACCTCCCGGGCGGTGCTGCCCGCTCCAGCGCCACTGTGCCCTGATGGCCACGGCCACGCTCGGAGGGAATTTTCAGCTCTTCATGTCAAGCACAACAGTGTCAGTGCAATGCTTCTCCTAGACCTATGAGTGACCCCCATCAGATACAAATAGTCTGAAAAACATCGCTCCCATCGCCTGACCATGCTGCTCAGATACTGCTGCCGAACTGATCTCCCCTGCTCCCAGACAGGAATAAATTTCTGCGTTAATCAGCTTCCCGAAGGCTCTCAGGAGCCAGGAGTGTATGATGAGTTGCTAATCACTCTCCACAGGAGCCGACGTCTCTGTGAGTCCTACCAGTAATCCTCCCTGCTGTCCCCTGGCCACATGCTATGCCAGAATCTCATCAGGGGGTTTAACAGAAGGGAGGACAGTGAAAATCTGTTCCATCAGCTAAAGCAAATCAAGGGCTTCAGCTTACATGGCTTGCCCAGCGTCAGCTTTCAACCCAAGAGACTTCAGTGTAGGACCCTCCCCGAGCTGAATGTGGGGACTCTGTGTGTAAATGGCAACATAATCTGGGGGAAAGGGGTAAAGGTGAGAGTGGATTTAGAGCTGCTGTGACGTCTTCACCCTTTCCACTATGTCCTGCATTTCCCTAATCAAGCAAACACTGCAATTGGAGGGAAAATGCGCATTCACGCTGGGCAGAGATGATACACACACACCCCCACACACACACCCTGCTGGGTTTGGAAGCAGGATCCTAGGGGAGTCTCTCTTTCTGCAGTGTAGATGATGCTGAACATCAGCAAGATGTGAGAGCACCAAGAAGAGCTCCCGATGGGAGATGATGAAGCACAGACACCCAGAGAGGCTGCAGATGACAGTGGACACAGAGGAGAGGGCTCTCAAGGAGCCAAGGGAGGCTCAGGCAAGCCAGTGCAAGGAAAGGAAGGCCAAGGAAGTCTGTGAGTTCACTGGAGCAGAGCCAGGAGAAAGCCTGAAAATCATTCAGACCTGGATCTTAGAGCTAATGGAACAGTGCAGGTGGTGGCATCCATGTGTGAGCAGCTGAGGGGCACACTGCATGTGACAGAGCCTGGAGTGCTGGGATTACCCAGCAGAGTGTCATCCTCAAGGATGCTGATACACAAGCTGAGTCACATGTATTCCCATGTATACTATGGTGCCTGTTGGAACAGGCAACCATGTTGAGGTTGTCACAGCCTCATTCAGTGCTGCTTCACTGCCCAGACCAGACAGGAACCTTCAGATTGTGTTTTCCTACACCCACCCACTTCTTAGCCACCCTGGAAGGGTGAAGGTTAGAGTGATGCTACATGCTTTGCAATTCAAAGCCTCCTGCATCCACCATGTCAGGGTGTGCTCCATGCCAGAGGGAAGGACTCTCCCTGGCCAGACAGGTAAGGGGCATGGCAAGGTTTAGACACCACAGCTCTGTTCATAGCAGTCTGCAGCATTCGGACCACTTCCAATCAGGAGTGAAAGAAAATTCTTACCTGATGCTTAGGCGGAAGAGTGACAAGTTGAACAGTTGAACTCCCAGAGGTCAGTCAGTATGTCCAAGGCCAGCTGTGGGCTGAACAGGCAGGGCAGAAATTAGCTGAGGTCCTGGAGCTAAAGGCAACTTCAAAGCAACAGCCTAAGGAAATAAAAGTGGAGTTCCTAAGTCCCTGCAACTAAGGGAAAGTCTCAATAACCCTCTCACTAGCTACAAATTAAGTGTAAAAATAGAATAAGGCTGCTTTGGATTAGCCAAAGCCCTCCCTGGTATTAGTTATGAACAGACATTGAAGATGAGTAAAAGCAGGATGAGATATGCATCATGCCCCCAGTATCTCATGGCTTTCACCTCACAGGGCCACCTAATTTTGATACCGTGACTCTCGGCAAAGCTGCCTTCCTCTGTTTTCAGGTCTTCCTCTCACACCAGGTTCCTGCCCAGCCTCTGTCCCAGTGTGCCAGACCTGTTTGACTTTGAAATTCAGTCACTTTGTATGGATGTACCTTTCTAAAGCTAGCTCTGAACAGCACCTCCATCTACAGTCTTACTCCTCGTGCAGAGCTCATTGCTACCACAGCTGCTTTCTGGGTCAAAGGAACTAATTTGATCATAGAATCATCATGTAAGAGGGTTTTAACCTTCATTATTTCCAATTGCAGACTCATTTAAATGCAGCATTCAAAAGGCCCTGCATGCAATTACACAAGCAAGTGCAGGAAACTTAATAGCTCTTAATTTGCACCGTGGCAGCAAGGTGATATCAGCATTGGCACTTTTTCCAAGCAGACTTCTTCTCCAAAGTGCCACCCCCACACCCCCACAAGGAGTCCCACTACCCTCTTCCTCTGAGAGCATTCTCTTGCAAACAGCAATGGATTCAGCCCAGCCACACAGCAAACCCTCACTGCCCTGCAATATTGAGCAGAGGAAGTTCATTCATGTATTTATTTGGACTTGTCTGGGAAAACACTTCCTCTATTACCCATTGTTTCCAAACAGCCCTTCTTGTGCGAGGAGCCAGCAGGAGAAGGCTTTCCGGGGCAGCAGCTCCAGCCTGACCTGGCCTCCGAAGAGGGAGGTGCAGCAGGCTGGGGAAGGACAACTGGTGTCATTTGCTGTCTCATGGCCGGCGAGGTCTCACACTCCTGCTTTGCTGCTTGGAAATTCGGTGGTTTTCTGTTCTGCAGATCTTTTGCCAGCACAGATCCAGCCTTTTCTAAGACCTTTGTAATGCCTTGTCCAGACTCTGCTATCAACAAACCTTGTTACGTGAAAATACTTCTCACTGTGAACAGGAATGCGGCTCTGTGCTACCAGGGCCACAAGGGGGGCCACAAACCCAGAAGTGAAACAAGACCAGCAGCAGCCCTGCAGCAAAAGATGGGCTGGTCAGCAGATTGCCATTGTCCCTGCCTTGCCTGGCCAGCCCTGGCTCTGCAACCTCGGACCCCTCCAAGCCAGGCCATGTGGCAATTCCCCGGGTTCCAGTCCACAGCAGCACCCTTCTCAGAGCCACAGCCACGCCACAAAGCTGGCCCTGGTGCATTTGCTTTGATGCCTCCGCAGGCAGGCAGAGGGAAGCTGCTCCAGCAGCCAGCCAGCAGGGGCAGGAGACACGTTTTGTTCCAACCCTCCTAGGAGCAGAAGAAGTTTTCTTTTGTACAAGAAGGGAGTGTTCAAATCTGCTGCCATCCAAGGCAGTGCTGGGAAGCAAAAGCTTGTTAATCTTTTCTTCCTTCCTTCCATCAGATGGTAACAGGACAGATCTGGACCTGGGTTGTTTCCCAGGTCAATAAAAGTGGACACCAACCCTGTACCAGTATTAGCTACTGGTGGAGCAGGAAACGTGCCCAGTACCTCCAGCTGGCAACACTCAGTGCAAAAGCTGAAGCCTGGATACCTTTCCAGTAAGAGGAAAGCTGATGTCTTTACACACAATTTCATGGGTGAAGGTGTGGGTGTTAACATCTTTGAAAAGGGGCTTAATGTCTCTACTAACTGCGGGCAGCAGGTTCCTTGCAGAGCCCGGGCAGCTCGGCTTCTGAAACAAACAAGTGGGGGTCTGCACAAGCCTGAGCTTCTGAACTTTGGGGTAAAATAGTTGGTTCAAGGGGGGAATATGTGGTAGACAGTTCGGGAAGGCTGTACCTTCCTAGTGCCTCAGCCAATGGGGAAAGGCGGGGGGGCAATGTGCAACCGGGAATTTAGGATAAAAGGAGGCTGCGCCCTCCAAAACCTGAGGAGAGAAAAGTTTGTGGGCTTGTGCTCCGGTGGACTCCCTCCCTTTATGTGAGTAAAGTTGCAGGATTCCTCTATCTCCTTTTTTGGACATAAACCTCTGGCTTTTGTGGATTTTCCTGACACCAGCTTGGGCACACTCTTCTGCTAAAGCCAGGCCAAGTGATCTTAATGGCTTTTTCTGCATTTAGCAGCCAGCAGAGCGGCTGCAGTCCAAAATGGTTAATCCTACATGGGTGCTTCAGCTTTGCAGAGGGCAGCAGAAAAACACAGGTCAAGAAAGTTTGCCTGCTTTAAGTAAATTGCATTATTGCAATGCAAATATTGGCCCATTTCCTGAAAAGACCATAGTGACCTCATCTGATCCTTTGAAAGGAATATAAAATTTGTTTGTTTGGGGCTTTTTTCCTAAATTTAACATTATGCTGGAGTGGGATTTTTTTAGTGATGAAATGAAAGGTCAAACTGTGGTAAGGATGTAACCATGGCAATATGGGAATGGCTGTTGGTACAAGTTTGCAGGAGCGATTTGCATAACCAATAAGAATAACTTTCTGTACTCATAGAATTTCCCTGTGATCACTGGGAAAATAAATATCTAAAGCAGACTTTAAAAAAAAAAAAAAAAAAAAGTAAGCTATAAAAGAAATTCCTGAGGGTGTGCTTCCTTGGAGCTTTCCCCAAGGTAGCCCTTTCTGAGAACTCTTAACACACTGTTTATTTTGCAATGGTCTAGCAGAAAAAGCAGCCATCAGCTACTTTGGCTGCACCAATGAAGA